AAATATAAGGATTCAAATCAAGTGGAAATTAGATTGTGCAATTCACAAGGATTGGAGAGCTTCTCTTTAAGGAAGTTCCATGGATATAAAGCTTAATGACCAGGCTGCCCACTGCACAAGCCTCAAACGCCAGAAATTACATCTTGTATCAAAGTCCAAATTCAGCTTTATTCTCCTGCATCACCCACACACCAGTGTTCAACAAGGGAAGACAACCACAAAAGTAGCAAGGAAACAAAAGGAGACAATTATTGAACAGTTTGTATGGGATCCCTGAGACTGATAAGGATATAGACTCAAATGCCCACTACACCCTAGTCCAAATTGGTCAACTTATTAATTTAGTTGGACCTCACAAAGCCTCCCATTATATCATATCCCATACTGAAGAAGTATGTTGCCCCCTCCTGAGTATGTTGCTCATGGGTAGACTCAACTTTCAGATAAAGGGGAAAAACACGTGGAATGAAGCAACGATGAACAGCTTAGTCTGACTCCATCACTTTTGGCCAGAAGAGGGACTTCACAAGCCATACTCAACTGCCCTACAGATCATAGGAGTGCTCAAGCCCCCCCGCCACGTCAAGGCGCTGTTCATGAGGGGGTGGGGGACTACTGCACATCCATGCTGGACCAGTTACCCACGACTCAGACCTAAATTGTTGGAGGGGTAATTCCTCTTGGTATTAGCTGTGGTAAAGCGAGTTTTTTTGTATACGAGATGACATTATGCTATACTGTAATCTATTACTTGGTTGGAAAACTGTTTTGTACAATGTGAGAATTTTTTTTTTAATCTAAACTCATTGGAGGTTTGCATTTTATGTAAGTGATTATTTGCAGGCAAGTGCACTGAAGATGGACATTAATGGTCATGGGGTATATCCCTGGGAAATGTGTAAATCAAAACCTCACAGACCAAACTTTAAGGTGTATTAAAAAAAATAGTATTAGGTTCCAAAGATCTTCAAGTGTATGTTTTATTCAATCTTTTGCTCCACAAAACAGCTATATCAGAATACTGATTTAATGCCTCCCCAACTCTCCAAAATCAAATTCAGCACCTAAACTCTGAAATTCTTGGGCTGTGCAATTATGTATAAATGTAAACAAAAATTTGTTGTAAAACTGAAAACAAAAAATGGGCACTGTTGGGAGAGGAGGAAAGAGGACTTAAGAAGAAAAAATGCAGCAGATCTGAGGAATACTGATACTTATTCATACTAATTTGTGTTAACACATTCACAACTTGCACATGTGAAGTGTATCTAACCATTATGAAATTTGTTATAAGTGCTTACCTCTTTACTAATTCTGAATTCACATAATGCATTAATGCACAAATTTAGTAAACTTTACAACGAGACGAAATCTGTCAAAATGTTTGCTCTTATTGTGTCTGTGCACCGATTCGTGTTATAATAATTCTGAACGATTCGTGGATGTTCATGTTTAGCAGAACACCTTATAGCTCGCAAAAAATGTCTTTAGGCAGCAATAATACAAAAGATGTGATAAAACCAAGCCTCAATCAGATGTAGCATTCACTAAAAAGACTCGTTCTTCATTAAGAAGGGAGGTGTCTCAAGGTGAACACAGCATTTGCCACCACCAAACACAGGAGATATTTATTTTTCTGCCAAGGGCACGAAGCTTACTAGTATGATGCCCTGATACCTAATTCAACAGAAAAATAGCCTTTATTATGTGATCCTCTAATGACTGGGACTCTTTATTGGTCAGCTCTACCAAAGCTGACTAATAAGAGGCGACTGTTAAGTATGAGGTAGAGGTTAAGAACTATGTCTGAAAAGACACCATAGGAAATGAATATGATAAGACTCACTGCAAGGCAAGAAACTAGTGGGTAAAACAGGCACCACCATATCAACAATAAAGAGTGACAGTATTAATTTTAAAAATTAGGTAATGGTTAAATAACAACCAAAATGTGAAAAGCCATTCCACATGGCAAGAAACTTGCAGAAAACATGCCACGCCACCTCATATCTCATAGTGCTATCTTGAGAATATCTGAAGATACAACACACAGTCCTCCATCTGCCTCTCGTACAGATGGAGGCAGATTCCATACACAGTTTCAAATGTAGATATGATAGAGCCCAGTAGATGCAGGAATCTGTATACTAGTTGACTGACAGTTGAGAGACAGGACCAAAGAGCCAGAGCTTAGCCCCCACAAGCACAACTAGGTGAGTACAGATGAAAGTAAAGTGAGCAAGAAACTCAAAACATGAAGATTGGCATGTGTCAAGAAATATCTATGTAGGTCCTCTTGTCAATCTTCTGAGACAAGCAGAGCCTAAGTGGGACTGAATGATGGAAACATTAGAGCCAAGTTGGGAATCAGGATTGAACTGAACTAAACTGACCATTTGGGAGAAAAAAATTATACAACCCAAAAGCTCTCCAACATTTTAATTCCATAGAACAGGGCCTAAAGCACAGAAAAATTTATGAAATTCAATCGAATCCAGTTCAGGTGGAGTTCAAGGATAACCTTGACTGCAATGATCATTCACAACGAGATTTAAATTACGTAAAACATGTACGAGAAAATATTGAAGCTGCATGGTGGGACTGAACCTTCATACCTGAACTTCTCAGGCACATGCTCTACCATCATGGTCTAGTTGGTAGTACTTATCTATCAGTGACAATCGGGAAGTGAGATCTAGCTCTTTATGCCCTGCCCCCTAGTCATTTATACAGTATCTGACACACTAATTACTTTTCTCAACTAATGTTTTCATCATTTTTCTTAAAGGTTAAGGATGAAATTGGCTTCAGCAATCTCTTCCTTCACTGCACCCCTCTTGCCAACCACCCATACAGGAAATGAGTACTTCCTTACATCTCTAGCTCATTTGCATGTCCAGCTTCCACTATGTCCCCTCTTTAATTTAAACAGGCTTCCTCTGTCCACTTTGTGTATTTCTCCTGAAGATCTTTCATGCAGTTATCATATCTCCTTTGCTGCATCTCTCCTCTAAGGTTGTTAGGGAGAGTTCTCTCAACCAGTCCTAATAGTTGAGGCCTCTCTATTCTTGTGCGTGTACCTGAGTTTAAGTATGCAGGTTTGACCTCACATCATATACCTTCAATATTTTCTCCCTGATCATAATATTTTATGTGGCGACAGACCTGGATTATATGAGTCTAGGGCTTTGCCATTTTCTAGTTTCTTCTTAAAAATAAAAATCATCTAGTTCTATTGGGGGGGGGGGGGTTGTTTTTTGGCTCTTGGGCCTCACCTCTCAATCCTTAATAGACTGTTATATAGGTTCTAGAGCCTATGAGATAGTTGGCCTCTACCACTTCCCTTCATAGCACATTACATTTCTTGACAATCCTGACACTGAAAAGGTTCTTTCTAATGAACATTTCCCTTAAAAGATGAGGGTTCGAACCTACGCCCGGGATGATCCCAGACACGCTTTAGTTGACTGCGCCACAACATGGTTAACAGAATTACAACCTGAGTGCTACTTGCCCTGTATGTGTATTTCTTTTTGATTTCATATGCATATACCCCTGTAGGGAATTCAATTGCAAACAATTTGATACCAAAATGAACGACATACAATGAAAATTAAGACAAGAAAACTGAAAAAAAAGTACAGTATACATATTTTAATGCACGTATTGTCTGTGTGTGGATAGGTGCTTACTCACCGGTAATGCTTGTCTGATTTTCGGGTTTGCTGCAGGTAGCATGCCGGGCTTTTTACCTTACCTTTACATCACTTTAGAGAATTCTATTGTGAACAATTTGATACCAAAATGAATGATGGAACATAAAAATTGACATGAGAAAACTGAAAACAGTACAGTATATACATTTTAGTGCAGGTGTTGGTGTGCAGATGAGTGCTCACTCACGGGAAACGCTCGGCCGATTTTCCGTTTGCTGCGGGTGGCATGTCGGGCTTTTTGCCCTTATATGCATATATCCCTTTCAAGATTTCTATTGCGAACAATTTGATACCAGAATGAGCCATGTAACACAAAAACTGACGTGAGAAAACTGAAGAGAGCATACACATTTTAGTGCTGTTGACCGCTCATGGGTAACACTCGATCAATTCTTGGGTTTGCTGCAGGTGGAATGCCGGGCTTTTTGACCTTACACGCACATAACCCTGTAAGGAAGTCTATTACGAACAATGTGATATCAAAATGAACGACAAACAACGAAAATTGAGGTAAGAAAACTGAAAAAAGTAAACACATTTTAGTGTGGTCGCTCGCTCGCGCGAAATGCTCACCCCACCTTGGGGTAGGCTGGGGCGTGCATGCCGGGAATGCGAAAGCATCAAGTCTTTTTCTCCAAGAGGATTTCTCTTCCATGTGGTACCTTGGTTAGAGACAGGAAAAGTGGAGAGTAGGGGCAGGGGAAGGAGAGTGCAACATCCTATTTTGTTGTTCATATAATATGGGAGAGTTGAGAGAGGCAGGTCAAGGTCATCCTCATTCTATGAGTGACAGCCAGGAGCCGCAAGAAACAAAACTGACATGTTGGTGAACATAAATCTCACTCAAGCTCATTGGCAGAAATTGTATAGTGCCATACTACCACTGGAGAGAGTAGGATAATGCTCACTATTTACCAAGAGTGCATGATAATACTTATTCTATTGGTTGAGGGCACAAGATAATGCTCAATCTATTGACTGAACACAAAATAATAATCACTATTAATGGAGCAGCCATGAAAAATATAAACTGCATTGGACATTACTGTTTTTCTTAAGAGAACTATTAAGAGAGAGCAGTATAATAAGTAGTGTGCAAGGCAGCACTCAACACTGCGGACATGTACAACTGAGATCTTGAGGTGTAGAATTCATTTCAAGCAAGTAATTATGTCTGATGATCTTCTATTCACTTCAAAGTCTCTAAATGTTTATCCGTCTGCTTTGAATTTCTCTCTCAAGTTCCAAAACTGCATTCTTTTATTGTATTTTTAAATAACTTACCCGTACTGTTGTGTAGTGACGCTGAGGTTATTAGATGGTTGGAAGTTCCTGAACTTGTGCTGCTATTGTTTGGAGTAGTTTGAGAAGTTGAACCTACCACAAAAAAAGGATACCATACAGTATTGTAAAAGGACAAAAATTATTCAAAAGTTATTAGTCCAGCTTTATTTACCCAAACTTTTAGCCCATCCTCCTATTTAGACATTACTTATAGTACCCATGTGGACAATTATACATATACTGTATACAGTACTGACGTAATGGAGAATTAGAAAATAGAATTTGGTACTATCGAATTTGGATAAACCAGAAAATATTTTGTATGTATATTGCTAATTAAACCTAACTAACCATCCTAGGATTAACACATGCTATGAGTCCAAATATAGTACAAACGTATGCTAGACTAGGCCTAGGAATATTTTAGATTGGTTTTTCACTTTATTTTTCCCAGATTCTATAAAGTGAATAGTTCTAAAGTCTACTAATTGTCCAGTACATCAATATATGTACAATGGTCCACATAGGTATTAAAAATACTATTTACACAGGTTGCAAACTTTAGTTATAATATTTTTTACATTTTAGAGTTCTGGATATCAAAATATACTTTTATTTTATTTTGTATACATTATTGCTTGAGTGCAAAGCTGTTCTTAGCATAATATGCTACTGCACCCAGCACACACTCGCACCCACACTCAATTATAGTATAATTAACAGAGTTCTCAGGTTATTTATGAAGTCTAATCTCTTGACTTCCTTCACTGTGTACCTGCCAATCATTCACACTCCAATCAATGACATTTAAATACAAATATGCAAAACTATTCAATGTATCCATATGCTTGTATTAATATTTATAGAACAACACTTTTGCTGCAATATGTCTAACACTGACACTACAGTAATTACATCACTCAAAATGAATGCACAGCCAACAACATTTATCTTATAATTCTCAACCGTAACTAATGTCTCCATGCAATCTTTATGTTGTACTGAGATTCAAACTTCTAATTTCCAATAATATTTATATTACCCTAAATGCATGGCATACTTCATGCTCCACAGTTGAACTTACATTTATACTTTTGTAGAATAAAATTATAATGGTAAATTATATTACATTGTACAAATACACATGACCTAAGGCAAATTAGCTAGCAAACCAATATGGACTAGAACCACAGGCAACCATGACATTACATTAGCACCAGCTTGGAAAGTTACACCACACATTCTGCACACACTTCTCTGCAAGTCTTCACCAACAATGCTCTCATGGCCAAGGGTTACTTATAAAATTATTTTACTGGCCACCAACACTTGTAGGCCACATTGTAAAGACATCCCTTACACACATGAACAAGGGCTGCAGTTACTGCTTCCATTTTATCTACCTGTCATATAAATTATAATATTCCATCACTTCACCTTTATATTTTTCTCATTCGTACCTATGATGGCGATATAAAAAATATACGCCCGTTTCGTACACTAATTTATACCTTTACCGAGCCCTAACCGATATGAATTGTTCACAAAACATTTCAATATGGTTTGGCTAAAGAAATTTATTAACACAAAAATATTTAAAAATCAAAAGCTATTGCAACAACATAGCAAGTGTGATAGAAGTGTTTTGTTAGTCTTACATTCTTATATGACCTTAAAGAACAAATACAGTTACATATTAATCTCAATTAATCGCAACGTGGCACAAAAATGAACTAACCTGATACAGGCTTTGTGGGGGTGGATGGAGGTGGTGTGGCTTTGGATGACGAGTTAGAATTGACCACAACGATGGAGGTGGAGGACACAGAGCTGCTGTTATTGGTATTACTGCTATTACTACTACTCAGGGAACCGCTGTTTATGATGCTGTTGGTCGTTGGTCTTACTACCAATGGCTTTACTGGCTGACTCGTCTGGCAATGATTATCTGTGTTAATGCTCATATTGATCAACATCAACAGTAGCTTTAAAGACAATATTAAAAGAATATTGAAATGAAGAACTGCAATCTTAAAATGTTTGACAAAATTACACTTCAGACGGTTCAATACCATACATTGTAGAAAATATTGACAATATTCTACAACAGCTAAACTGAAAAAAATAAGAGTTAAAAGATCCTTCAGAGAACAATCTTTTATGTAACAGTGAATATATTATAATCCATACATTCACTGCTAATAGACAAGAAAAGGTAATCCATTAACTCTTTTCTTACCCTCAATACTCCCCATGTTTTGTTTATTTAGCAAACCTAAAAGCTTCGGATAATAAAATGGCACTTCATTCATCCTGGGTGATATCACTCCACATCACTGAGACAACAAGTGATACGAAGCCACTAAAGTGACAAAGCAGCAGCAACACGGCTGATCCATGGAAAACTTTCCAATGTGTCTCACCAAGTACTGTCCTGTATACAGATTAAGGTCTACTGTATTCCTATATTCAACAACCTAATTGCAGATACAATAGAAAACAATTCATTGACTAATATCAGGAAAAAAAAGCACAAACTAATGATCTTCATATATGAACAATTAACAGATGGAAATTCTTCCTCCATTATGAAATAAGATCTAAGTGTTTTATAAACTAGTCTTGATCACCAAGTCAAATATGAAAATTCTAAAACGAAAAAACCCCAGAATGTAATGAAACTCCAATTTCTGGGTGAGCACCGGAGGCTTCCCGGCGCTTACCGAGCTGATATGTATGCACTGTATCAGACCGTGGCATCAGTCGATTGGAGTGTTTATCTACCGGGGACCACGAGCCAGAACAAGTCCCCCTCAGAGAGGCTAGCGAAGCAATGGCCTATGGAAACCCAGGTGTGTTTGGAAGCATTCCAAGTCTGCCATCGACCGGGGTTAGCACCCAGAAAGGTTGGTGAAACAAACCCCCACACAGTAGTAATTCCTACCTAAGCGCCAAACAGGGAGGCAGAACTCCCAAACCAAAACAAACAATCATTATTAACGCTGTCGCTTCGATTGTCCGTGCAGCCCGTGCAAGGCCAGACAACTTAGTGGACAGCACTTTGGATTAGTAGTCCAGAGGTTGCGGGTTTGATTCCCAGTGGAGGCGGAAACCAATGGGCAGTTTCCTTCACCCTGATGCCCGTTACCTATTGTTGTTGTTAAAGATTTGTTACCTGGAACAAAAAGTTCCAAGTAACACGGGCTATGGTGAGCCCGTAGAGCAGTAAATAGGTACCTGGGAGTTAGACAGCTGCTACGGGCTGCTTCCTGGGGGGGGTGTAACAAAATGGAGGTCTGGTCAAGGACCGGGCTGTGTGGATGCTAAGCCCCGAAATCAAGATAACCTCAAGATACTATCAGAACCGAAAGAACAGAAACCTTTGCACGTAGCATAGCGTAGCTTAGCCACAAGCATAGCTCTCATCCTGTAACTACACTTAGGTAAATACTTAGGTAATCACTTAGATAATTACCAGAGGAGAGCATGAAGCTCTCCGAACCGAACCCCAGAAGCCAATGCCAACAGGAAAAGAGCCTTGGAAAAACAATCCTGAACCGAAGGAGCTACCACAAACCAAGGAGAAGAGAGAAAAGAGAGCACCTGGTCAAAAGATCAGGACGGTTTAGGCAGCACATGAACAGGCCGGAGGTGATACAAGGCACAAGAAAGCTTACGGAACGGGGCCAAAATGACATCCACCCCAAAAGCAAGTTGAAGCGGCTCCAGCAGCACTGCACGATACGAGGCGACAGTATTAGGCATCAAATGGAGGTCCTGAAAAAGCAAAGAAAGGACAAAACAACCCAATCCAAAATAGACGACAACCTACGTAGAGAAAGAAAATGGAGAAAATGCCAGGAAACATCATACTGTCGCAGAGACAAAGCTTGCAGGTGGGACACCATCAACGAAGTCACCTTATCACCACACCGAGGTTGATATACCCACATAAAAAAGACCAGACGTGAAGAGCGGAGGAGTAGATCGAACCAGCCACATACTACCAGCCCAATCTGCTGAAAGAGGCAGAGCCGTGGGAAACCCCTCGAGTCGAACATCGACCAAACAGCGCTGAAAACCAAGGTTGAACCGACCACTAAGGGGCCAACAGGACTACTCTCCCCTGGTAAGCCTCCAACTGAGCCAAGACCCGAAGCAACAGCTGGACCGGGGGAATGAGGTACAGGTAACACCACCTTGACCAGTCTTTCCAAAAAGTGTCCACTGCGATGGCCTTGCAGTCGGGAAAGGGTGCCACATACACAGGAAGATGCCGGACCACGCCAACGCGAAGAGGTCCACCGCCGGGAGTCCGTAAATCCGGCAGAGCCAACTGAAGGAGTTGGCGTCGACCATCCATTCCGTGGGAAGAGGAATGAACTGAGACAGGCCATCCACCAGGGGCCAGATTCACGAAAGCACTTACGCAACCACTTACGAAAGTGTACATCTTTCCTCAATCTTTGACGACTTTGGTTACATTTATTAAACAGTTTACAAGCATGAAAACTTCCCATTCAACTATTGTTATTGTTATAAACAGCCTCCTGGTGCTTCGGAGCTCATTAACTGTTTAATAATTGGAAACAAAGCCGCCAAAGACTGAGAAAAGATGTACAGGTTTGTAAGTGCTTGTGTATGTGCTTTCATGAATCTGGCCCCTGGACGTTGGACAACCCCTGGATATGAACTGCACGGAAAGTCAAACCCTGAGAATCCAACAGACGGATCACTTGAAGTGCCCATCCCCAAAAAGCCAAGGATCGAAGAGAACCCCCCTGCAGTTCAGGCAATGAACCACCGGAGTACAGTCCGAATGGAGCCGGATGGTCGAACCCCAAGCGATCCGAACCCTCTGAAGCGACAGCCAAACAGCTGCGAATGCCTGCACCGTACTGTGAGCCCACCGCCCCTGGCCGGTCTGGTGAGCACTGGACACAGAGTCCCAGCCAAGACAACCGTGGACATCTTCAAGAGGAAACTAGATTGTTTCCTCCAAGGAGTGCTGGACCAACCGGGCTGTGGTGGGTATGTGGGCCTGCGGGCCGCACCAAGCAACAGCCTAATGGACCAAACTCTCACAAGCCAAGCTTGGCCTCGGGCCGGGCTTGGGGAGTAGAACTCCCAGAACCCCATCAACCAGTTATCAACCAGACACAAAGTGTCTATGAACACATTGAGCGAGGGCTCGGGTAGGCGCCACGATCCATGAGTATGAACTTGGCCATTGCTCAATCTGAACCCCGAACAACCTGAAGAGGAAGTCTGGCGACGCACCAACGCAAGGCCCCTGGAGGCCGAACCGAGCAATCGCCAGGGCGGCGGAAGGGATGGCCCCGAAGGAACCAGAACAGCTGCCGAAGCCAAACCCCACCCAGCGGGTAAACGAGCACGACGAAGTTCAGACACCCGCACAGCTGCTCGAGCAACCTTCGAGTGACTCGGGAGCCCCCAGAAACAGCTGAAGGCAAGACTGCCGACGCAGCAAATCACTTGACAAATCATTATCTGACTCAGAAGACAAGAGTCAGATTATTCCTTCTGGTGCTACTGCTAAGAGAAACACTTGTATTGTTGACAATCAAGAACATCTGAACAGTAATTTGAACCATTCCCTATTTTGCATCCAGAATGGGCTGAAGTGTCGTATTTGCTACAAAAATGGTAAAAGGAAGGACACCAAATGTAAGTGCAAGTCGTGTGCTGCACCATCTCCGGCTTGTACCATTGCAAAAGGACATACTGAGTGGATAAGCAGTAATGCTTAACCAAAATCCACTCCACCTATAAAACATTGGTTGAGCAACTTCAGGAAACAGTTTCCTGGAGCAGGTGCCTCAGGAGGGAGAGACAAGGAAGCGGTCCGAGAGTCCACACAAGACCCAGTCAAGTCCGAACCTGAGATGGAACCAGATGAGACTTCCACCAGTTCACCAGGAACCCGAACATGGCGAGAAGGAAAAGAACCACTCCTGGCGAGCAGACATGCAGACTGACTGCGAGCTCACACCAGCAAGTCGTTGATGTAGGCCAGAAACCGAACCCCCTAACAGACGTAGACAGGTCACCACGACTTGGGTAAGACGTGTGAACACGCGAGGTGCCAGATTCAGACCAAACAGAAGACAACGAAGGAGGAAAGCTTGACGCCCACCACTAAACCTAACTAGTCCCTGAACTCCAGATGAATTGGGATGTGCCAATACAATCCAGACACCATCTATGCACTCATCTCCAAGAGAAACAGGGGTTAAGGTGAAACACATTGCTCAAGAACCACATGAATAAATGGCACTGCCGAGAAGAAAACCTTGTACATGGTGAAATTTGGGTGTGCAAGTATGTGGGGGAAAACATCAATGGCTGGCTTACCTCTATATCTGTCTGCAAAACAACTTAAAAGAGCTTTGCCTAAGCACACAGGTCAAGATGTCTGATGTTTGGGAATGAGATGCTACAGGACACAAGAGATGTTGGACAGGCAAGTAAACCAGACCCACACCAGCATGGAGACACTCACTCTTAGCCAAGGATGATGTCTGCTAAAGCCAAACAAAGGCATTATCCCAAACAAAGGAGAAAATGCAATTCCTTAACATGATTACCAACAGCCAAGATCAACAGAAAAGGCAGCTTGAAGACAATATCAGCGAAGGACATCAACACACAAAATCTTAGAGAAAAAGAAAATCCAAGACAGCATATACAGTCAAGATGGTTATGTCCAGCAGGATGCTTCCTTCAGGAAACTTATATCTAATATGGAAAACAATTACTTAAACACAAGTCAAACTTACCGAACTTAGTGATCTGGACTCTTCATTTTTACTACTTCTCTTCTTATCATGAGGTGTGGTGGGTGCATCGTGGTCATTGGAATGGTTGGTGGCAGGGGACGGGGCAGGCGATGACCCACACGCCGACGATGGTGTTGACCCGTCTGTGCTGTCGTGACTTCCGCCTAGCACATGCTGAAAACAATGAGTGAACATTATTTATAGAAAACTTCTCGTGACAAAAGAATAATAGAAAAGTGTAATAAACTTGTATTAGCAGCAAAAGCTAATACATTCATAGCAGCAGGCATAAAACTGTAATTTATTCGCATTACAGTACCGTATAGTGAAGTTCCACTCGAATAGAACTTAAGTCCTCAGATATCAGGATGCAATGGAAGGATTATGTCTGGTTGAAATAATACTGTAACTGGTTATATGAAAAATAACACGATAACTTCCAGTATAACGAGCCTACACGTTTGCTGGACTAGTATGCAGTGCAAAAAAAATATACAGAATAAAGCACTGTGTGTACCTATGCAGCACCTCATAGCTAGGAAAATGATAGGGATGGATAATGAAAACCTTCAAAACAAGGGATGCCACACTATTGATGGTACTCTTCAGAGCACTAGTGCATAGCCCTTGCATCTCCACTTAAGATGGGAAAAACTGCAGATCTGCAAAATGTATGAGACCTTTTACTACACACACACACACACACACACACACACACACACACACACACACACACACACACACACACACACACACACACACACACACACACACACACAATCAACGAAGCATTTAACACTTTCGTTCGGGAGGGACGTATATGACGTCTACAATTAACTCTGTGGCAGGGACGTATCTGACGTCTAAATTTAATACATTTGTTAAAATTACATTTTTTATCCGATCATTTTAGGACGTGTTTTAAACTTTGCGCCAATGTCTTCTCATTCACAAAATGACATTTTGCCAGCACCAGCATACATGCTGGTGCTGGACATGAGAGCAGATCTACTGGTGACAATGTTGCAACACCCGGACCATCAGGTGCGAGGCGGCCACTATTCCCATCTTCACCTCGACATGACAAATTATTATCTGACTCAGAAGACAAGAGTCAGATTATTTCTTCTGGTGCTACTGCTAAGAGAAACACTTGTATTGTTGATAAACAAGAACGTTTGAACAATAACTTGAACCATTCCCAATTTTGCATCCAGAATGGGCTGAAGTGTCGTGTTTGCTACAAAAATGGTAAAAGGAAGGACACCAAATCTAAGTCGTGTGATGTAGCACTGTGTGCTGCATCACACACACACGGAGCATGGTGTAGTACTGTGTGCTACACCATGCTCCGGCTTGTACCATCGCAAAAGGACATACCGAGTGGATAGGCAGTAATGCTTACCCACCATCCACTCCACCTATAAAACATTGGGTGAGCAACTTCTGAAAACAGTTTCCTGGAGCAGGAGGAGTGAGTGGTGAATGCTCAACTCATGGTCTACAATCATCATTGGATGGTAAGTACAGCATTTTTTTCCCTGTAGAGCATTCTACTGCCAAAATATATATAGCATTCTATATACCAAAATGAATGACGTAACACAAAAATTGATGTTATCAAACTAAAAAAGATTTAGCTGGGATTTTTTACTTTATATGCATGTATCCCTGTAGGAAATTCTATTGCAAACAAATTGATACCAAATATGAACGACGTAGCACACGAATTGAGTTGAGAATCCCAAAAAGAGTAGACAATTTGGTGGGGTTGTGCGCTCACGGGTAACCCTCGTCCGATTTATGAGTTTGGTGTGGGTGGCATGCCGGCTTTTGGACTTTATATGTATACGGTCTATCCCTGTAGGGAATTCTATTGCGAACAAAAAGATACCAAAATTAATGCTGCAAGACAAAAACTGAGGTGAGAAAACTGAAAAAGAGTACAGTATACATATTTGAGTCTGGCCGTGCTCTCACTGGAAACGCTCTGCGCACCTTGAGGTAGGCTGTAGTGCGCGTGCTGGGAACGACGGGAAACCTGGTTGATACCTGGTTGGTGGGGTTCTGGGAGTTCTTCTACTCCCCATGCCCGGCCTGGTATCTCTCACTCTCGTCTCCTTTTTAGTGAGTACATTTGGAGGGCTTTGAGACGATCTCAATAATTTAGGTGCTTTATCTCGTCTATGTGTACTGTATATGTTCTCTGTATTCCCTTTATTTCAGCAATCTCTCCTGTTCTGAAGGGGAAAGTGAGTACTGAGCAGTACTCAAGATGGGACAACACAAGTGATTTGAAGAGTACAACCATTGTGATGGGATTTCATTGGGATGGGATGATGGGAACCATTGTGATTGGGATGGGAAAGTGTTAAGTAGTGAAATTAAATTACAGAGACCAACTCAAGACACTCGCAATGTACTCAATGGAATGAAGGCTGGAGATTTCAGAATATACACATGAAAGATGCTGAAAGGTCTGCTTCCAAACCTCCACAATAAAATTACAACATACTGAAGTAAGAGATAGGGTAGGAAGTGCAAAATAAATACTGTACATTGAGAAGTCCAGGTGCCAAAAGCACAACAAGAGAATATAGTGTAAACATCAGAGGCCTTCAACTTTTTAATCTCTTGGCAACATTAAATTTTGTAACTAGCTTATCAAGACAAACTTGCTTAGCTAAATTAATTTTGGGGTTCAGTCCGAGCACATTATGTGCCACTGTAACCTATTCCACTACTGCCCACAGGATGGGTATGGGGGTGCATAATGAACTAAACTAACTCTGCTGTAAAGGCCTGAGATTCAAATTCCTTTTCAAATTACATTTATAATATAAATAATTTGTGCATATCAATCTGATGGTAATCCTGAACTTGGGGTGGGTGGGGTAATCCTGAACTTGGGGTATTTGTAGGCCCTGTGCCTTGCACAGGGCCTACAAATACTGTTGAGATGGCCCTGCCTGACTGTGATGGGTACGTGGGCCCTTCAGGCTATGAAGACAAACACCTTCACAGACCAAGCCGTGGGGTTTACTGAAATACAGTATCTCACATCTGCCTTGTGTGTGTATGCAAGCTGAGTTCATGAAGAAATCATCAGTCTTCCACTTACCTTGTTTCCACTGCTTTGCTGAACATTCATATTGATCTTTCAGGATTTTCCTCATTTCTTTACCATCTTCTGTGTACATACTTCTTGTAAGTGGGGCCATACTTGCAGATAGTATTTTTTATTTGTTCTTTGCATATGTAAGGAATTTTATTCCTTGGTTGGCCTTCTGTTTTTTATATTCCTTTGTTTTGTGTTTTCTTACATTTTTGCTCTATCTCTGTCATTTCTCTGTAAAGATTTGTTTGCCTGTGTGAGGATCTTAGTGGCCACTTAAGTGTTCCAGAAATCTCTCTCATCCTCCTGTATAGTCAGTCATCTGTGATCTTTCATGTTGGACCTTTTTCCTACCTTTCTCAGAAGGACATCACTACTCCTTCAGTTTGCACGAGAACTTTAAAATATTTTTTCAGTACCTTTGTTCCCTTAGCTTGAATCTTAGACCTATTGTTCTTTAAGTTGCAGGTTTCAACAATTCCTCCTTGTCAAAATTGTAAATTCCTGTTACTATTTTGTATGCAGTGATCACATCACTATTTCTTTCATCTTTTAGCTTTGACATATTTAATACTTCTGGTCTTTCCTTGTACCTTTCCTTTCTTTGTCAGATTTCTTTAATGTTTTTCCTCATAATTTGAAGTTGAGTGTGGCCTATTTTCTATTCTATATTTATTGTAGAATATTTATTTATGGCCTATTCTACATGGCATTTATTCACATTGAATTCCATTAATTACGGTTCTGCTGTGTGCATGCATTTTCTGCCTGTTCCAATACCATGCAGTCCCAGGCACTACCTCTTGAAGTCGCTTTCTTTTGGTTGTTAAAAATATTACATTTTTCTGCGTATCTGTTACCCTGCTTTTTGCCACCTCTATAGCATTTTGTGCCTTTCACATTAAAATCTCGACAATATAGGTCATAGCATTTCTTTTCATACAGTGAGGTCTTGCTCATGTATGGGTGGAAGCACAGTACCAACACATTCTCATATTTCAAATCATTCCTTTCCTAAGCAAATTTAACAAATTTCTAGGGATGCTTTTATTCTCTATCTACTTCCAACATGTTTGTCGGAATACTCTTCAAGCAAAATATTTACAAACTTTGCCTTTATCTTCAGTTTCACTGCCATTTTCTGGTTTGTTCTTTTCAGTAGTTTGATCTGTATTACACCTCTCTTCTGTTATTTTATCTCTTGTACTAAACCAATCTGACTACAATCTTTCCATGTCTTTCCATTCATTCTTGTACTTATATACCTCTTCTGCTTCTATTCTTTCATTGTGACTTATCTCTGTCAATACCTTTGTAACCAATCTGACTACAATCTTTCCATGTCTTTCCATTCATTCTTGTACTTATATACCTCTTCTGCTTCTATTCTTTCATTGTGACTTATCTCTGTCAATACCTTTGTACTATTATTCATAAAAGTAAATTTATAGCCATGGGGCAGTTGGCTGCAAGAGTGAAGGGGTGACAATCATTGAGGGCGGACAACAATAATGTGCAACAAATAAACATGAAGTTATCACATGCATTCGTTCACTTGCAATTGAAAAAATCTGGCAGCATAAAAATCATTGTGCATAGTGAATCAATAACCATATTTATACTAGAGCAGAGCCAAATGACTTAGTTTGTCAGTATTTGTCACATGGCCCCCATTTTGGCTGTTGTTTACCAATAATTTACTGGAGTACGTAGGGTTAAGATTTTCTACACACGGGTCATGAGGACGGACACAAAATGGTGTTAATTGGAGCAACAAAGGAGAAGAAATTTGAGTGGGAGGACCAGTGTCATTTGTGATCATTGGACTAAGTGGAGAACTCATCAATGATACAGGTATCAGTCAACTCATCCTCTATGTTATCAGTCAACTTATCCACTTTGTTATCAGTCATATCATCCATTACGATACCAGCCATTGGAGAGCAAGGAATTGCATGATGTATCAAGTTCGAAGAGCTCATGCAGTAGTATTAGTGGTAAAGTGGTTTTGACTATGGAGAGAACAAAGATCAGAGATGATAAACTCGTGGTCTGCTTC